GAACATGATGCTAAGTAAAATTAGGCAGACTCAGAAAGTCAAGGGTCAAATGTTCTTTCTTATATGCAGAAACTATTGCAAAATAAAGGGGAAAATAGAGGAGTCCATGAAAATAGAAGGGAGATCAGTGGAGAGGAGTAAGGTAAATAAGGGGAAGGAGTGGGGAGAGTACAAAGGAGGAACTATGGAATAAATTAAATTATGCTATGTGCATATATGAATATACTACAGTAAATTCAATCTTTATATATATTTACAAAATACCAATTAAGAAACAATAAATAAATAGAAGGAAGACCTGTAGAGTGGAGGATTGGGAACAGGAGGAAAGAGAAGTGGAAGAAAAAAGGAAATAGTGAGAAATGAAATGGAACTAATTACATTCCATGCATGGATGGTTATGTCAAAATGAACCCCATCATTATGTATAATATGTTAATAAAAACATTAAAAAATTGACACAGTGGAGAGATACTCTTCCACAGAAATGCATAGTCCACCTATCCATATAGTCATAAAAAGAAATCTATGATAAAGAATGCTACTTTAGAAAAACAGAAAAAGAAGGCAACATGTAAGATCATATGAGTACTTTGGTGAATAGACTGCCCGATCTTTGAGTAGATTGCATTCTTGTCACCAAAGGCTTTTAAAAATGTGATATTCTCTTCATAATTATAAGCCATTCATAACCTCTCTCATTTTTTAATGTTCACCTGAAAATGGAAGCTATTAACCTGGAAATCTGAACTTCTCCTTAGAATAGAGACTTGTGACCCATCTTAGAAAGATGCATTACCTTAGATAGATTTAGAACTTGAAGGAAAAAAAAATGAGCAATCACTATAATCACCCTAAGATACACCAAAAAGGAAAAATGATCATCTAAAGATATGCACACAAAAAAGACTCAGCAAAATACAACATTCCTTGGTGATTAAAACAAAACAAAATAGCTCTGTGAAAACCGAGAGCAAAAGGAAGTTTCTGCAGACTTATAAATGGTATTTAGAAAAAATTTGCAGCAAATGTGCATATAAATCGTGAACAATTAAATACTTTCCCTCTTAAATTGGGAACAAGGGAAGAGTGTCTGCTCTTATTACTTTTATTGAATGTCATACAGAAGAAATGAAGGAAATACAGTTTGGAAAGGAAGGAACAAAGACTACTATTGATGTAGTTGTCTGCAGAAAAATGATTTAAAAAAAATAACTGGAAAGGCCCAAATGTTCCCAAAATGTGACCAGTGTTTGAGGTGATGGGAATGCTAATTATCCTAATTTGATCATTACTCATTGTCATTGTATCCTTGTGTTGAATTACCCTACTGTACTGCATAAATCATACGAATATTCTCAACTATATTTTTAACAAAATAAAAAAATGAAATATAAGAATAGATGAGTTTATTCAAGATACACACAAGTCAGCATATAAAATCTATATTTCTACATACCAATAATACAGGTAAAAGATTTAAAGTTTAAAAATGATATTTACAATAACATCAAAAGCAACCTGTGACTGATTGAGGTATATAGTTTACGTACAGTAATCGCATACTTAAGGACAGGGAGATAAACTTTTAAAATTCTTAAATATTTACTTGACAAATGCTTTGTATGTTGAAGATGTAAAAAGTAATTATTTACTATACAAACACATTGTGTAATGGTTACAATAATCACATTAATTAACACTTCCATCATTTCTCATAGTCACTATTGTGTGTGGGTAAGGGTGGAGGGTAAGAACACTTAAATATATTCTTCATCAAATTTCAAATAAGTACACACTGTTATTTACAATAGTCACTATGTTGTGCATTATATTCTCAGAAGTTGCTCATAACTGAAAGTTCCTGCCCTTAGGCTAACTTCACTGCATTTCCCTTTAACCCTAGAAACTACTCTCTGCCTCTGTGAGTTCCATATTTTTGGATTCCACATATAAGTGATGTTTGTTATACAGTATTTTTTCTTTCTGTCTGTGACTGGCTTATTTCACTTCACGTAATGTCTTCTAGGTTCACTTGTGTTGTCACAAATGACAAGATTCTCTTCTTTTTAGTGTATGAATAACATTCCATGTGTATCCAAAGCATGTTTTTATTAGTCATTCATCTGTCAGTGGATGTTTATATTGTTTTCAAATCTTGGCTATTGTGGATAAAAATGTTGTAATAAACACAATAATGCAGATATATTTTAAAATACTGATTTTATTTTCTTATATACCTAGAAGTGAAATCACTGGATCTTTTAGTAGTTCTATTTTTCATTTTTTGTATACCTTTTATAGTTTTCTATAAAATCTGCACCAATTTACATTCCCTCTAAAATTGGAGAGGGATTCCTTTTTGCCCACATCCTCACCAAAACCTGGTAGACTTTTAACAAATGTGTATAATTAAAACCTGACCCACTATGGAGAAGGTTTTCAGCATTCAAAATTTTTCTACATGCCCATTTTCCATGAATACACTCCAAGAGATGTACCCATTGCTCTGTTACACATCACCACAGATTAGTGTTGCATGATCTTTTTAAAAATTTTTTTAGTTGTAGATAAACAAAATACTTTTATTTTATTTATTTACTTTTATGTGGTGTGAGGATCAAACCCAGTGCCTCACACGAGTTGTCAAGTGCTCTACCACTGAGCTACAACCCCAGTCTACATGACCTTAACTTCATATAAGTCAGAATAATATTCTTTTATTTCAGGATTTTTAAATTAGCATAACACTTAGTTTTGTTTTGCCTTTAATAGACCATTTACAGCATTTTATTCAGGTTCATCCATTCCATTCAATAATATGCCATATTTTTCTCAGCACCACTAATACTATTGACATTATTATTTCTCTTTGGAGAGACCCATGCTTCCAAAAAAAAAGTAGTATATTTTCATAATGTTTAAGTTCATGATTAAAATTATTTTTCTTTACCAAAAATCAACATTTTGATCCAAGAAACAAATATTAAGATATACAGAAATTTATCTTCACTAGAAACAGTTCATAGCCATAATCTTTCAGGGGTATGCTCTTACTTTGGGTTAATTTTTGGAGAGGAAAGTGGATATTTTTTATCATAAATATTTGTTTACTATGAATACCAGCTCTGCTGTACCATAAAAGAGAAATGAGGTCTTGTTCCTGAACAAAAAGCAGGTGTTTTTTCCAGAAATGGACCCTAATAGATTATAGAGGTGACAAAGTAAGGGGACAGAGTCAATGAAACCTTCCGCCCAGCCAGTCAGCAGTAATAAAGTATAGCCAAGTGAATGGGAGAGGTAGTAACCAGCTGGACAAATGTTGGTTTAGAATATTTAAAGAGAAAAAATGTTTGTGTTCTTGCATAAGCCAGAGTTGGGGAAGACACTTAGATATTACTGAAAAAGTGACAGAATAGAAAACTGTGTGACAGATACAAATTTCCTAGCAGAAGATACATATAGAAAGGTGGTACAACAAGTCATTGGCAGTCAGGTGTCTGTTTGAGATGAGGAATTATTGAATGTGCTCTGCAGTTTTTACATGGAAATTGAAGTGGTACTGCACAAGTGAAAAGTCAAATTCTGATTTCTTTTCTTTTTTCAATAAATACTGGTAGAGCACCTATGGACAAGGCAGTAAGACGGGTTCTAAGATGTGTTCCTGACTTGGAGGAGTCTATAGTGACCATCAGACCACGAGCACACTACATACAGAGCACTGCTTCCTAGGGGCCATGCAACCACATGAAGAGAAGGATAAGTTCTGTTTGGCAAGATTGAGGAAGGACTTCTCCAAATATCCTCAGTTCTCAGTATGGTCTTCGTGCCTCACACATGAGACCCTAATTGTTCAGCCTATCCCATTATAAGAATTTGTTTGTCCTTCTTATCTTTCTAGGTAGTTTTAGAAGTGGAAGAATGAGAGGATAAGATCACATTTCATAGGTGCCTATGTGGAGTTGATGGGTTGTAGAAATGTCACTTAATCTTGGTCCAGAAAGGTAGAAAAAGTCTTGGAAAAGGGAAACTAAGGTGATGGAGATGTGAGTAAAATGTGTTCATCAGAGGGAGAAGCAAGGTATGCCAACAAGCAAATATATTATGTATCTGGGGACAACAGGAGCCTAGATTAGTTGCAAAGAAGAACTTTGCTTAGACAGCAGTGGTGGTGATTAAGTTGAAAACTAATAATAGATAATAATGTCACTTAAGTACCAGGGTAGGTGTCTGGCTTTTATATTACATCAAGGAGGAAAATCTGCAGGTTCGAGAGCAGGGGAGTGACTTATTTTAACAATGACTTAGAAAAGATTCATTTTTTGGTAAAATGAAATGCAAAAATAATCTGAAATTAAGAGGCTTCTGTCATGGTCTCAATGGAGAGAAGGGCATCAGACTAGAGTAAAATCAATGAGACTAGGAAAGGTATTATAAAGAAGTAAAAGAACTTGGATATCACATCCAGTAATGGACAGAAGAGAAAAAAAAGTCCAAAATAATTCCTAGATTTTTAGCCCAGATGATGTGAAGAGCACCAACAGCCATGAACTTTGAAAAGATGGATCCCTCTGATATCAAGCTCCTGATAGTACATACATTACAATGTATTAACCTCTTCCTATATGCTTGATGATATTTTTCCAATTGATAGAGGAAACTTTTGTAGATTTTCTTGCTTGAAATGTTAAAATGGACTCATACAATTAAAATATTAGAAATCTTTTATCTCAGCTAAGAGATTTCAGTGAGTTGACCCTTAAAGTCACATGAAATGCACCTATATTTCTCACACTTACTCTTTGCACTTTAATGCCCCAGGGATTTATTTTATATCCTTTAAATATTTCAAGTTTATTCCATCGTTATGCATAACTCTGAGCCCCATTGCCTACAATAGTATCTGAGAAATGAGAGGTACCCAATGAAAAACAATATTTGTTAAATAAACATGAATTCTGGCCAGAATTCCCCAGCTTGATTTCTTATTAAAAAATCTATTAACAAATTACATGTCGAATCAATAATTTTTTCATGGAAATTTTTACTTCCTGGTTTCGAAGGGTATAAATCATGGGATTCATCACTGGAAAGATGACTGTGTGGAAGAAAGAAACCACTTTGTCCGCAGGTAAGGCTCTGAACGGCCGAGTGTAGATGAAGATTGCAGGCCCAAACATAAGAAGTATAATAATGACATGAGTGGTGCACGTGGACATGGCCTTGCTCTTCCCCTCAGAGGAAGACCCATGTACTCTGCAGAGGATGACGGCATAGGAGGCCAGAAGGCCCAGGAAGCACAACAGGGTCATTAGGCCACTGTTGAAGACCATCAGGAGCTCCACCACAAAGGTGTCAGTGCAGGCCAGCTTGATGACCTGTGGCACATCACAGAAGAAGTTATCCAGCTGATTTGGGCCACAGAAAGGCAGGCGGAGGATGAGGGCCACCTGGATAATGGAGTGGATAAAGCCTCCCAGCCACAGAGCCAGCAGCATCACATAGCAGGCTCTAGGGCTCATGACTGTTGAGTAGTGCAAAGGCCGGCAGATGGCAATGTAGCGGTCAAAGGCCATGACAACCAGGAGCAGCCCCTCTCCACCTCCAAGGAAGTGCAAGAAGAAGAGCTGGGTGATGCAGCCTCTGTAGGAGATCACCTTCTTCTCAGAGAGGAAGTCCACCAGCATCCTGGGAGCCACAATGAAGGAGTAGGAGGCATCCAGGAAGGCCAAGTTGCCCAGGAAGAAGTAGAGGGGGGCTGAGAGCCCAGGGTCTGACCTGATGGTGAAGATGATGAGGAAGTTTCCAGGGAGGATGATGAGGTAGAAAATTAAGATCAGTACAAAGACCAAAAGCTGAATCTCTTGAGACTGAGTCAGACCAAGGAGGATGAATTCAGTCACCACTGTTCCATTTTCTATCTCCATCTTCTCTCCCTGTAGAACATCAGGGAATAGAGAGATACTCTCCATATCTTCCATCTAGATTATAACTCTTTCTCAACTAAAAGCAGAATTATTCCACATCTATATAAACCACCTCTCTGCATAACCTAAGACATCTCTTCTACCCTTAATGCAGCCATATTTCACAACTGACAACACCTTGACCCTGAGGCCACACCCTATCATCTGCTTCAGTCCTGTGCTTCTCTTCAATGTTTCTCTCCTAGGAGACTCCAGGATACCACTGGTTTGGGTTTGTTACTGATTTCCATGAGCATATGAAAATATTTATGATTGAAAAAACACTTAGCCCCAATTATTAAGGTCTTCAAGTTTTCATTTGAATAGGGAATGGGATAGGGAGTGACATCAATGAGGAATGATAACGCTTTTTATATGACAAAAGATGTTCTATATCTCAAATACATTATATAAGAATGGTTTCACATATCAATTTAATTTGCTATAACTCTTGAACTAGATAGCAGTTGGTGCACCTTTATTCCATGTAAACTATACCTAAGGAATGTTAACTAAAAGGTTAAAGAAAACTCTACTTACTGGAAATGCTTTCTTTTCCTCTACAGAATGTCAAGCCATCAACCTAGTCTAAATAAAAAGGCTCTTAGTCACTCTGGAGAAAAACAATATCTGAGGTTTATCCATACATTGGTGTCCAAATTAGGAATGTTTTCACTGCAGGGCATAAGCATAGTAGTCTATTGATATGAAAACAATAAAGAAGAATTCCCATACATATAAATGTGATTTTAAAAAAAAACAATATTTTACATGCCTTTAGTTACCTAGCACATTTGTTTTAAAAAATGTTGTTGAGCATGGAGTATAGAGTGGAGGAAAAGAAGCGTACGTTAACTTACCTTAAAGGAGAGAGAGTGAAAAGGGAGAAGAAGAAAGGAAAATTTATTTTACAAAAAACAGTGAAGTCCCAAATTAAGAAATTAAGGGAAATACTTACAATGGTACATCTATTCAAAACATCAAAGATCTTCTCTTTTAATATATAATTCTAATAAATTTCCTTATATGGTCAAAATTGAGAATCATAAAAGTACTTTATATCGCATAGGCACACATATATCCATGTAAAAACATGCACACCACCCCCAATGCTAAAGACACAACATATCCTAAAGAAAAACAAAGCACAAAGATTTACATATTGAACCATCAAAAGAAATTTTTGCTTTTCCTTTTTTCTCTTCTTTTTTTCTACTATGGCCATTTATTGACCATATATATCTCAAAGGTACTTTTGTGCATAAAACCCACTATTAGAAAAGTAAATTTGAAATCCCTTTCTACTTAATCTTAAAGTTGAGTTCATCTTCAACATTATTATGAACTTGGTTATTTCAAACTCTTTCAAAAATTAAGGGTATGTTTAGATCATAGGAGAAACTTTCAAGTATCTCTGAGTTTATGTGCTGCAGATTCTCTCGCTGTGTCTTGCTTTATTCCCTGCCATCCACCCCTATTCTCCTATTGAGTCCTTGACATATGTGACTCATTCCCATTAACATTTTGGTTCCCTGTGTTCCCTCTGTATTTTCTATGCTCCTTTGTGGTACCTGCCATTCTCACTGCATGCTCATCACAGATTCAGAGACTGAAGATGCATGTTCATAATGTGGACTTTCCTCTAGGGAAAATGAAGCAAGTCCCTGAAAGATAAAAGCACAGAAATCTCTGCAAAGACAAGGTTTTCTGCTCTAACTATATTAAGAGAGGAACCACTGTCAGTGAAATTTGAACTAGAAACCTGAATGCTTGCTGTTATCTCTACACCATAATTGTCATTCCAGCTGAAACAAAAATTCATAGACCCTGGTAATGCAGGAGCAGTGCAAGGGCACAGTGAGAGATGGAGCAGAGCCATCTAAAGGCTTTGCTAGGCACTGATCATGCCTGGAATCCAGGATGTTGGTAGAAAGTTCATGCAGCAGGCATTTGAGGCCTTGATCCCCACCACAGGACAGACACTAATTCTCCCATTTTTCTTCTTTATATGTCCTCATTGCATCTTAAAAAATGTTTCTGTTATTATATTTAACTCCTTTCTCACCAAATATTTCTTCACTTTCTTCAGTTATATTTTTATCTTTGAGTTGACTTCTTTTTCTCTCTTATCTGTTCTCTGTTCCCCTTGCTGTTTCTCCCTGCTCTATCTCACTTATATTCATTCTCCTTATTTTCTTTTGATTTCTCCATATTCCATTAGTTTGCAATATTCTTCAATCTTTCCTTTTCTCTACTCATCTCTCCTTCATTAGGTCCTATGCTTCCTTTACCATCAATGCTGAGAAACCTCACTATTGTTTTGAAGCAAGTTCTTTCACTTGCTTTAAACATTAAGTTCTTTTACTCTATGAACTAAGCATTTAATTCCTGTTTCAGTACTAGATCATTTTGCTTGGACAGAATGCTTTAAATGTACTGTAACCACTGTTCAATTTTTCCCCTTCTCACAGATATTTTGTAATTAATTTTAATTAAAATGAGATTATTTACCTTTATGCTTTAAAGAAATTTCTGATTAAACCACATACCAGCAAAAATATGTTTAGAAAACTTTCCAAAATAAGAGTATGACAGCTATTAATATGTGCTATGTAGTTTGTAACTCATTGGCAGATAAAATTACTGGTTTCAGTATGTTCTGAGAAATGCAGATATAGTTAAAGAACATCATCAATATTTGACTGATAACAATGTTGCTGATGGCTCTAAAATCACTACAAATTTATATGGAATTATTAGTTCCTACAGTTCTTTAATGTCATTTTTTCTAAGCAAAGAAATGCACATCATAGAAAAAAACCTGGTTTGGACATCTGTCTCAGTTTAAGTTCTTAGTCCTGCAATTTTTTAAACATAAGATATTGGAATGGTCCTCATCTTCCTTAGCCAGAGCTTTTTCACATCTTACTGTGTTGATTTGAAAATTTAATCAGATGGGGATGATGTTAATAAGTAGGATATGCATGTCTGATTCAACCAAAATTAAACCAGGAAAAATATACATTTTAAGTTTCTAAGAAACAAATGTGTGATACTGGTTATCTGTCCCTATCTTTGGAGAGAATCCATGGAGTAATGGTAACTGCATGAATCTAAGAGATTACAAAATAAAATTTCACAGATATTTCACATCATCCAATTGTCAAAACCCAGATTAGGGTATGCTAGATCCATTTGTAAAAAAACAACTTCTTATTCCAGCTGAGTATGAGGACCAGCTCAGAGCTAGTCTTCTGCAAAATCATGAAGTTGATGAAGATATTTTTGGCAACTCTCAGCCCAGCTTTTCTTCACTAATTACAATTCCCATCCCCTCACTTGTTTCAGTTAGTAAATGCAAATTTATGAGTATGTGTTAACAATAACAAGGCAAGTGATATTTTAATAAAGCCTATGTAACCCCAATAAAATAATTCTAAATATCATGAGGAACTAGAGCTATATTGTCAAGAATAGGTAAAATATGCTGCTATATTATTAAATTCAAATTGCATATGGTCTATTTCTGCTATAATTTTTATCTATGTGTTCCAAGCAGAAGATGTCCCACCTGAAGAGTCGCAATGTCTGTTTACATTTATTCCCTTTTTATTCCTTATAAATATGAAGAATGACAAGAACATTTGCCTCTAACAATCCAATTGTACTCTCTACAGAAGACATCACCCACTTCTGAGGGAAGGGATGATAACTGATTGTTCCTACCTTTGTTCTTACATCTCTCTTTTCAAAGAGCCTTGTACTCTTTGAAACACCCTACTAATTTGTGGTAGAGAATGCACCTTGGGAATTTGAAGGTTAATAAACCTGCAGAGGACTTTCAAAGGGAATTGTTAGAATGCCAACAAGATATAGTCAAAGAATGAGACAAGAGAGATATTAGACTTAAGTACTCAAATATACATGAGCTAAGGATCTACTCTGTCACTTAGTTCTAAATTCAACATCCCATCAGTGACAGAAATTACAGAATGGCAAGAATTTTTGTTAGGTCTCTGTGTGTAGAAAGTCAACACAGATGATTTAATTTCTTACATTACAATTAAAAAGAGTGAAAAATTACACAATTGATAGGAACTTGTTAATATTTTAAAAAAGGAAGTTATGTGGCCCAGTAAGTAGTAAGTATGCTTGATTCAACATATTCCTGGTGACAAGAGAGAGACAGAAAATAAACCTTGTTCACAGAGACTCCTTCAGCATAATCCTTCTTAGAGAACAGAATTAGATTTCGTAAGACTAATCCCTTCAGGGAAAGTGCTCTCTTAAATAGACCCTATTGTGGGTCTATTTGCTGTTTTCATTTTACGAATGAGTGTTTCACGTGCTTTGCAAAAGCAATGATTAGGAATGATTACTTTTTAAATTAAATGTTATTAAACATAAGAAGCATCAAGAACCATGTAATAAAAGCACATAATTTAAGTTTTAGTAGATTTGTTTTTATCTTAAAGACACTTTTAATTTCAAAAATTAAAATAGTAAACATCATTTTTAAATAAATACAATAGATAGTCAAACATTTTGTTTTAACTTGTCCAATTCGACTGGAAAACAGAAAAAAGAGAAGAAGAGAGGAAGAAAAAGGTTCACAAAGTTATAAAAATATAAAGAAAAAGAGGAAATTAAAGAACAGGAACAAATGAAAGTTAATAATAGGAAATAATAGAAAATGAACAAGATAAAACAGAGATACAGAAAAGTATATCTTGAAAAATATAAAGTATATTTTCCCCCTTTCCCTTCAGCTCCTCTTATATATAATTTTGTATAACGATGAGGGTCTCCTTCCATTTCCATGCAATTTCCCTTCTCTCTCCCTTTCCCTCCCACCTCTCGTCCCTGTTTAATATTAATCTTCTTCTCATGCTCTTCCTCCTTGCTCTGTTCTTAGTTGCTCTCCTTATATCAAAGATGACATTTGGCATTTGTTTTTTAGG